AATTTTATTTAAATATTTTAAATTTTAAAAAAAATAAATCATAAGCAAATTTATAGCAATTTTCCAGGCAAATTTGCTTACAGTTTAAGGGATGAGTTTAACGAAAGTAATAAAGGCTTTACCAATAATAATTAGGTTTAATTCAGCTTTTAGTTTTTTTTGTTATCAGTTACACTGTAATAGGCTTTTATATTTTATCACTAGTAATACGATGTTAGAATATTAGCAGTTAGACGTTTTAAAAAGTGTTTAATCACTTTTAAATTCATTCACATTATTTCTTTAATATTCGTAGCTGTAGAGCATCTTGGCTTTGAAAGACTGTTAAAATCACTTTGCTTTAAGGAATACGATCGATATAATATCGATGAATTTAGTTTGTTATTGAATAAAGTATAACATTAATAAATTTTGCTTGACAGATTTATTCTTTTTTTGACATTATTAAATCTCCTATCGCTATATCTACAAGATCAAATTTTACGTAATATTAAAGTATTAAAATGTAATTCCAAGAATACCCGCCAGGGACACGGAAAAAAATGCGATTTTATTTAAAGGATTTGGAATTCCTATAAATAAAATCACTTTTTCCGTGTCCCTGAAACCCATTACTTATTTTTACTATTATTCTTGCAAATCTCTTAGTCATCAAAATCATATTCAGGAGACGGCTACTAGATATGAGTGAGCGAGTGCACGATTTTGACAAATCAAATTTCAAGATCAAACTGATTTTGAATGTTGATTGGTAAATCGTACAATATTGTGTGTTTTCCCCCTCGCTCACTCATATATGGAAATCATCCATAATTACCAGATTCACCAATTGAAACATAATCTATACTACGTAAAAATTGAAAATTGGTAATGTTGATATCTCCAGATAATTTTATATACAACTTATACTATATTATATAATTTAATTTCTATATATACATACAATATTCTCTCTAAATATGCTGTTGATTATTTTCAAAACACACTTTTAACATATATATATGCCTGGTTTTTAGCTACATATTATATATACAGAACTACGTATTAAAAATGCAGTATTAAAATATGCAGTATATAAAATGTCGCGGATGATGCTGAAATCGAATGTTGAAATTGAATGATGCTGAAATCGAATGATACTGAAATCGTATGATGCTGAAATCGTATGATGTTGAAATCTAAGAGCCTTACGTAATAAAAACCTTACCTAAATTCTAGTCCAAATCCAAGAAAACCTAAGATGTAATCAGCTTGATTAGCTTGGCTTGTCTAATGAAATTACGTATAGCCAAAGCTTAAGCCATCGTTTTAGCAGTTATAATCTAAACTATGGCTATTAATATGGCTTAAGACATATATAGTTAAGCCAAATAAATTATGCTATAAATTAAGCCACAACTTAAGCTAATTAAGCCATAGTTTTAGCTAGAGTTTAGGATATAATCCAACTTTAATTTTTAATTATTATATATTACTGTAGAAATTAATTGTGTAGTGTACAGTCAAACCTCTCTATAATCACCAGCTTGAAAAACAGGAATTGGCTATATAATTGTATTTTATATTATACTCAAAGCTTTAGTCATGAAGAATTTTTTCGAGCTGTAACTGGAACCAATGACTTCAGTTGTGACTGGAGCTATTCTTATTCTGGCTTAAGCCGTGATTTAAAGCCATAGCTTGGGTTATGGCTCAAGCTGTTAATCAGCTTAGCTTTGTTAGGCTTGGCTTAAATCTACGTATCGGTATGGCTAAAGCTGGCTTTTTTGTAAAGCTAATAACACCCTTAAAAAAACCTAAAAAATGTACCTCAAAAAATTTTAGAAATAGCACATTAAGCAAGTTTTAATTTCAGTATCAAATATAGGGATGTTATGTGGTCCGGTCTTAGACTAATAGACACAGTTAGTCTTAAGACCAGTCTGGACCTAAAAAAATTGGTCTGCTCTAAGTCTTAAGACCGGACCTGTCTGGACTGGCCTAGACTATCTAAGTCTTAAGACTGAAGACCATAATAGACCAGACTAGACTTGGACCAAAATTGACCAGGCTGAACCAGACCAGACTGTTAACATCCCTAATCAAATATATACTAATTATATATATTAATTTAGTAAAATTCAAATAGAAAAAAATTTACAATAAATAATAGGATAAATTTTGGATGTAATAGCTATATAATAAGTAATACAATTGGACAGAGCTCTAAGTATTGATATGTATTTCGACACAGTAACTGTCATCGTTAGTTTTACAATAATAAATAACAAATTATCTTATACAATTATGACCCACCAAGCGGTGGGAAATCATTTTGATATTTATCACTATGACGATTAGAATGATCTATCGAATTAATTTTCCAAGGATTATTAGACGAATTAATTTTTGTATTTTTCCAAGGATTATTAGGGTTATTCCTACTTTCAAGATTACCACCTCGCGACCTTGAATCGTGTGTTACAATCGGCTCCTCATTTAATTTGGTTAAAATTTCTTCTATAACCTTATCGTTATAGGAATCTGGGGTAGGTTGAGGTTTTATGCTAATTATTCTTTCAAACCCTTCCTCATAACTAGGAAAAACCATCCATTGTTGAAAGTCTGCTAAAATTTCAAGACCTTTTTGACCTTGAACTTCTGTTGGATGATTTTGTCTTTCAAGAATGCGGGATGAGCATTCCTATCGAGTTATTATTAGTATCCACTTAATAAATAACGATAAGTTATAATTATTAAGAGTTTTTCAACAAACCTCCATAGGTGTATCCATTACAATAGCATCAACTGGTATACCGAAATCCCGCGCTAATTTGATCCATACTTTCCTTTGATTTCCATTAAAATTACACCTGTCAACTATTACATTCATTCCCTTATTATTTAAATGACATGTCAGTGAAAACTTAAAAACGGTACATATGCAAATTTGTAGATAGCCACCTCGTTCAATTTTGCTTTAAATAGATCTTCACATGATTGCCGAGTTCCTAAATCATCTTGGTTAATTCGATACCATTTCTATTAACCGCAGCAATAAATAATTAATTATAGCTCATATTTTATATTTCATCTTGCTTTAAACATAATTAAATTACATCAGGATAGGCTTGACAAAGACTTTTGGAAAATGTCGATTTTCCAGAACCAGGAACTCCAATACAAATCAATGCCCTATTCTTTGATTCATTTTTCTTGATAACTTTTGTACCTAAAATCATTAGGACCATATATTCTTGAAAAAAAAAGGGGATTGCCAAGATTATATATTACGTATACGTATATATATCTTATATATATATATATATATATATATATATATATTAAACAAATAAACAAATGAAGATTATTAACTAACTTAGGTAACAATATAATAAAAGCCACCAATATAAAAGATTTGATGGTAATGCAGGGGAAATTACGGGAAATTATGATATCCTTGTGAAGTTTTCCGTAGCCTAATTACTAAATCGGGATGTTGTTGAGTCATTTATCTGTATATTACAGTCTGTAGTGATTGCAGAGATAATTAAATTTAACAGAAACTTTCTTGCGTAGCTTGAGTTGGTTTAATTTCACTCTCTAGCTTTCTTAAAAATCTGTATTGTTTTTCGAATTTTATTAAACCCATAATGTTGACCAAGTGCTGTTTCTGCATTGGCTTGAGGTATGATCGATCTTTAATTTAGACCTAAATCACTGTGGTTTTAATTAATCAGGAATTTTATAACCTGATTCATAGGGCGGCAACTCTCTTATTGGCCACTCTTGGGGCTGTAAGTCGCATTTTATTCTTTTATTATCACTTCGAATCAACGCAATTACTTTATAATGACTAGAATATTTCTTAATTTACTTCATAGTTAGCATATATGACCAATGCCTATCATTTTTCACAATTGTCTGGACAATTTGGTTCCTTTTATAGTGCATTATCTACTTATTATATCGGAGCAACATTCGCATGTATCGCTGGTATCATTGGTGTAATTAAGGTAAGACTGTACCCCATCGTTTCTTTGCCCTTGCTTTTTTTGTTTCTTTTTTTTGTTTTTTTGTTTTTTTTTGGCTATGCTATTACTCAAATATAATGATTTATTCTATAGAATAAAATAAATTATGTAAAAATCTATTCGATCTTCTATTGGTGGCAACTTTTATTGGGATTCACTCTATCCATCGTGTTTTCCGTTGTTGCCTTTTACTTTGATAAGGATATCTGTGAAAAATTAATCGAACAACCTGATGTTGATATGGACATGGATACATGCATGAACTGGTATATAAAGACTGCCTCCATGATGGTTGTTTGCCTTGGAATATCATGTCTCATTGATGTATGTTTTTATCTATTATAAAAAAATTTTTTATGACGTTTAAAATCCGAGTTAACTAATTACTCTTTTTACTTTTGTCATATATATAGCTTCACTTCTGCATGGCCGTATGGGCATATTACCAGAGACTCAAAGTCGAACAACAATATGACACACTCTCAGATCCTGGATATGTTATTTTTTACACATCAGTTCCTGCTTATGCTAGTTCCCAACCACCAGCTTATGAATCAGTTCCTCAATCTGACTCCAAAGCTATATCTACCAATTCTAATGTTCAAAATAATGCCAAACAATAGATTTCATTGATAAATGTGGCATTAGTTAGCTGTAACTAGTATAACTTTTTTAAGTATAAATTTCTTTTCTGTTAAATAATGGAGCGGTTTTAAATGTATAAAGTGGCATGGTAATTGGCATTTTTTTTTTTTTTTTTGTAATCATCAAACGCAAATTGCTTCTTTATTCAATAAATTTTGTCAGATAATTATGATTGTAATTTTTAGAACTAGAACTTTAGCTAGTATCCGCAATAACTCTGATCAAATTCGTAATAACTAAATGCTCATCAGTTCCGTCCGCTAAATATTTATCAAATTGACCTATAAATTCGCCAATTCTGGCCTTTTGTGCTTCATTAAATTGAATATCATTTAAGATTCGATCTTGAACCTATAAATATAGGATATTAAATAATAGAACTAATTTCAAATTTCGGAATAAATGTAGTAAAAGGTTTTTTAATACCTGAGATAATATTTGAATAGCTGAAAATCCGGAATTCATAATTTCAACAACTGCCTCTTCGAGTTGTATTTCGTTTCCACCTTTGTTTTTGTCACTTTTTGCGGTTTCAATTAAATTATTAATTAAATCGTCTGAAACAACCTATACATCATTGGTAAAATAAATTTTTGTATTGATATATCGTTTACGAATGAATTATCGCTGTTTGCAAAATGATGTATCTTTGATCAAATTTTGCATATTGTAGCTCACGCTCGATTGTGCGATTGTAAAGTGATTTTCTTAATAAAATATTTTTATAAATTATAACTTTCTTGTATCCCAATCTTCAAAATAACACTTGTATTCTCGAAAACAATTTCGCACAATTGCGCAATCAGACAATAGATAGATGACTGTATGTGTGATCTGCAATCTACAAAATTTGATCAATTTTGATAATATAAATACGTACCCCTGCAATTTCTCGTATTGATTCTGATGTAATCATTTCCTCCTTGTGAAGCTTAGATGCACTTTGAAGATACATTATAGCCCTTCTTAGGTCTCCTTCAGATAGTTTTGCTAATTCTTTCAAAATCTCAAAATATGTTGAAATCGTGAAGATTATGTGAAATTTTGACTAAAAACAAAGTCATTTAATTTATACTTTGATTATGATTGATACCTGTGGGTTACAGTTTACTACTTCTTGTTCGCAAATCATTTTGAGTCGTGATACGGTGTTTGAAATGCCCAAAGGTTTGAACCTGAATTTGGCACAACGAGAGGCTAACGGTTCAATTATACTATTTTACAATTTATAAAAAAAATATATATATATATTTATATAAGCAAAATAAAAAGTTTCATGTTTGAAAGTATCATAATGAGAAACTTTACCGTGTCACATAATTACAGATGAGACAGAAACGCGTAACTTTAGAATAATTTTCTATTACGCGCCGCAAAGCTGACTGAGCATCTTGTGTCAACAAATCAGCTTCATCTAGAATTATAATCTTATAAGGTGGACACGGATAATCACCAGCTTCTCTATTTTATTATTTAGTTAGATAATAATCGGTGATGATTTCATATTTTACTTAGAATCAAAGACCTTACCTACGATTACTAACTGCTGTACGTGCGAAATTTTTCACCTTATCTCTAATAACTTGTATTCCACGTTCATCTGAAGCATTCAACTCCAAGACTCGAGTTTTCATCAATTTTGGACTAAATCAATATATTAATAACAAGGAATATTAGTTTAATATCCTATATCACAAATATACCTAATATGATTTTATACCCATAAAGTTCTCGAGCTAATGCTAAAATTGTGGATGTCTTGCCGGTTCCCGGAGGTCCGTAAAATAACATGTGAGGTAGCTGTGAGAGAGGACTGGTTAATAAAAAGGAATCAAAACTCAAGAAAAATTTACACATATCACGACTTTTTTCATACATTTTGAGATTCAATAGTCTTTTTAAGTACCGCCACAGTTTGTTCTTGAGCACTAATACTATCCATAGATTTTGGTCGACTTTTTTTTAAAATAATTAAACCTGTCAGTATATTACTCAACCTTTAAACTTGCTTAAAATTTGCTGATATTCTATAAACTTACTATTTCTCGATCCATGGCTGAGGAATTTCTTCGTGAACATTTGCTGAGTTGGAAGGTCTAGCTTGAAAAAAAGTATTCATTTTCGCTGAAAGTGTCTAGGTACGACTTTGTCGCGTCTTTTAACGTTAATGAATCAGTGATTGGTTACCAAATTTTTAGAATCGGCCTGCATTTATTTACTGGTAATTCTGGTAAAATGGTATAATGAACAATTACGATAAGTGGTATAATTCACGTGATGTATGCTGGAAGACTTTGCTAACTAACTACTGTAGTTAACAATAGCAATAACAACGAAAATCCTTAGGAAATTGTACATAAAAGGCTTTTTCAAGATGGGCCATTCAACACAAAAATGATAGATAATTCTATACGCCTGTACATTTATATTAGTAGTTGATTTACCACCTAACTGTTAACGCTAACCGCTAACATACGTACGTAGAATTAGTTATTACAAAATCGTATAGTGACACGAAGCCTTTTTTGCGCACGTGTTTTACTTGGAGGGAGTAAATTCTATCGGATTAAAAAAAAAAATTTCTTTGGCTTTATTTATTTTATAAATGGTAGTTCAACTTCTATATATAATAAATAATTCAAAAGCAAACATTTATCTTTATCATAATTTTTGGATTTGCTTTCGTGAAGGGTGAAAGAAGATAAAGGGATAGACATGTCGGACTCTTTCTTTGGTTTCGACACTACATTACCACCTTTAAATTCTGACCAGTCGACTGGACTAAGTCGAACTGGTGAGCAACAGGACGAAACCGAAGAAGAAGAAGTAGAAAGAAAAATAAAGGATTTTTCTCTGGAATCAGGGGAGGATTATGGGGTTTATGATTATGAACAAAACATTGACTTAGATCAGTTAGAAGAAGAAGCTGACGATTTAAATGCCGAAACATTTGGAGATGTCGGGGACATCGGTATGCTATTCTTATTATTTCGGTCTTGATTAAGCTATAACTTTAATAGATCATAAGTGAACCTTTGTTCGCGATTATTTTCGAACTGAAACTTCTAAACTTATTGTCTATTTGCTTGAAACTATGATCTGTTTGGTGTCAATTTTTCGCGTTCATTTTCTAATATAAATACTTCACAACTTCGCAATTATAAAATTTTAGGACAGGATTTTGATTTTACGGAAAGTACGGCAAAAATTGTAGACACGATAAAAAAAGAGGAGGAAATTTATGTTGGCCGACGGGAAAGCACCACGTCAGACAAGGGCGAGGGTAAATTATTATCCGATTGATGTATCATGATTATAATTCATAATATGAATTCAATTCAAGATAATACAAATTATCTATACAGAACAATCCAAACGAAGACCATCGTACGCGGCTTTATGGGGAAATGATTCAGATGTCATTTTTAATGGCAAAAACAATCATTCAAACGAGATAGTAGGTGCTCCATCATTATCCGAGGTATTTTATTAAAATAAGTTTATATAATATATTTAAATCCATATTTATTTATAACGGTTGTTTTCTTAACCTAATGATCTTTTATTGATGCTAAATTTCAGTCCCCAATAAGTCCTTCTATATGGGGGTCATTTCATGCGCCATCAAGTCGTACAGGTGTGTACTAAACGGAAATATGATTTATAAATCAACACATATGATTCATCCTATTGATACATTTCATTATCAACGTCATCTATTTTGAATATTTTTTACATTTGTTTTATAATACGAAGAAGGCGGTATTATTCCTACTTCCTTCGAAAATTCCCATCATTATACACCCCCTCAAACGTCACCACCACCACTAGGATTTGGTCCTCCTTTACATACTTCTGTACGTTCGCCAATGTCGCTCGAGGAAATTGAAGCGCAATTGCACAGACAGGCTGGGGTACCCGAAAAGAGAATGTTGAGCTTGGCAGAGGTTGAAGCCGCCTTGATGAGCGTTAATGGTCGGCCGCCACCACCACAACATTTAATGTATTCTACCAACGAAGCTACTTTTAGAGATCAAGAAAATTTGGCCTTTTTAGAACAAGAAGCAGCTTACCGAGAACAAGAGGCTCTGTTATTTCATAAGGAAAAAAAACGAAGAGATAAGCAACGAAAGTTGGTTGAAATGGTAATAGATTAATTATTTAATAATTTTTATTGATTTTTTAATAAATATATCTTTAATCAACGGAAAGACGTTTTTATTGCTTACAGTCTCGATATAATGGTCTAATGACACAAAGTGACAAGGATTTCATTAATCGCATTCAAATATCACAACTTGTAACGGACGATCCTTATGCAGATGACTTTTATTATCAAGTATATACTGCTATACGATCTCGCCAGCCACAACCTTCAATATCCACTTTTTCACCTCAACTCGGAGGATCTGGTTTCATGGGACACGAACGAGGGCGTCATCGAAGCAGAGGATCCGAAAGTGGGCTATTGAAGATGCAACAACAAGTGTTAAGGATTGTTAATGATGCAAGAAGAAAACCAAAGCTAACACAACGTAAATAATACATTCATATATTTGTATCAAACCTTTTGTATAAAGTAATATTAAAATTTTTTTTACGTACATAAATAGTATCACTGGAGGGTGCTCTAGGTAAAATTGCTCTTAATTCTGTACGTAATCCTAGACAATTATTGCAAGTTTCATCAAAGAGCAATGACATTCATCACGTGGGTCCTAGCAATGGTAGTGGTAGTGTTCATAGTCAGCATCAAAAAATTCCGTCAATTTCATCGCATGGTGTTATAGATCATCGAAAGATTTTAAAGTCTATCGAAAACGTATATACTGCTGTATTGGCATTAGAAGAATTGAGACGAAATCAGCCACCACTGCCAAGACCATATGCTGATCACGAAAGAGTGGCCGTTGAAAGATGGTGCGTAGTTCGATTGTTGACGAGCGAAAGTTAAGTGAGACCGTTGTGATAGCAAACCTTTTCTAATAATCATTCGTTCAGGAATGAAGAGTATGTTGAACTCGCAAAAACGATGTGGGAAGAACTAAGAGTAACAGAAATGAGTGGCTGGTAATTTAGTCTATTCAGCTTTCATGCATTTATAAGTTTGATAAACAAAATTTTCATTAATAATTAAACTAATTTATGTATTCAAAATAAATGTGTTGAAAGCTATCCACATCCTTTTATTAGCATACTGTCTGTAGCAAAAGGAAAAAAAGTCATTCCACGGGTCATACGCCATTGTCTTCCCGAACAAATATTTAATTTAATCACAGTATTAGTATCCAATTTTGAAACACTAGATGTATGCAAAGGTGCAATTTGGGGACCTCAAGGAAATGTTAGTCCAGCAATGTTGGAAGAAGTTGAACTGTTTATGAACACTGTTGTTCCACCTTTGCTACAATTTGTTGCAGAATCCCCATTAAGAATTGTGATTGGACTGTTTGGATTATTTATCGAAAGGAATAATATTGTATGGGTGGCAAGAAGCAAGGTGTGATAATTTGTTAACAATTAGTAATAAATCTTTAAATTTACGGATTTACACTTTTTTATCGTAAAATTAATAGTTTTTTTTTTTTTTATCTGATTATATAATAGGTTGGCTTAGCGTTTTTAACAATGTTTTTGAGTCGTGCTGAAATTTTAAAACAAGGAGGCGGTGCCATGCAAGGATTACCACCACCAGAAGAACTGGAGATGATACAATGGTGGGTTAAAATTAAAAGTTCATCTAAATTTTATAAAATCTATAAAATCTCAAAGGTTGATTTAAGTTTGATTATTATTGGTTACTTTTTTGTTTTAGGCAAGATTTATATAATCGATTATTCAGTCTTCTACAAAATCATTTCTTATCATTGTACCCACCGTTCATGATTGGAATCGATGATATGTATGTGTGGCAGTTTCTCGCTGCAATGGCTGTTGGTGCATCCACGGAACAACAACACGTGCTGGTTACTGAAGTGAGGTATGTTTATTTAATACTGGATGTTTAAATATTACATTTTATTGTTCATAATACTTTTTTTTTTTCTGACTAAAAAGGGAAAGAGTACTTGAAACTGTGATACAAGCCTCAAGGCTATCAGCAGACAAAGCATCTCATAAAATTGCCAATGTAAACTTATTCTTGAATGCATTAGGACTTGACGCATCACAGCTTAAAGTTTAAATTACACTTGTCAAGATTAATAAGATTAATAGTCACAAGCAAAGAAAAAAAAAAAAATCACTCATACAAAGTTTGATGTATCATAATAAAAATCAAGAAAAAAAAATGAATTTGAACTAATACTAGTTTTGTATATTATAACTATATATATAAATTGCGTGACATATTTTACAATGACTTTGACTTATTATACAATTATTGAAAGTCGAATGACATAATTGTGTGCCAGCGAACTGGATTTTCAGAATAATATTTATAATATATATTACTTTATCGGTACAGGAACGTTAGACCAATCTTAAACTATTATGTAAGGTCTAATTCCACCAACATTGTATATATACATATTTATATATATGGATATATGTGATAATCATTAATTGATAAATTGATTAATCAGATATCTGTCCCTCAAAATAATCAGCTATGATAAAAATTCTCTGTTTAATCTCTTTATACCATCGTCGAATTATAAACTTCACATACGTTTTTGTAATCATTCATTCAAATAAATTAATCTTTTGGGATGTCAGTAAGTATGAGACAGTGTCCATATTACCTGGCAAAGTTAATCACGGAGTATGACCTTTTTTATTTAATCCGCAGAACTTTGAAGAAGAATACAGTCTTCACACTAATCCTCAAGATATAGGGTACGTTTGAATATTTTTAAAAATAATTTAATATTCTTTAATCAAATTAATAAATTTCATCTCGACAGGAATGGAGAGGAACTACCTGAAGATCCCATTCAAGATCATCGGCCACGATTATTAATTATGGGCCAGAGGAGGTGGGTAAGATAGATCATTTATTTTCGTTAATCTGTTGAAAAGTGTAAACAGAGTAATAAACTAGTTTTGTTTCGTTTTAATTCAGAAGTGGGAAATCCAGCATCCAAAAAGTTGTGTTTCATAAAATGCCAGCAAATGAAACATTATTTCTTGAAAGTACTAATAAGATAGTCAAAGAGGATATCACGTAAATTTTGATAAATGCTTAATTTATATGTTACAATACCTATATTTATTTTTTTTTTAACTATTAATAGATAATTAAATATTTTAATATAATTTAATTTAATAGGTCATTCATTGATTTTCAAGTTTGGGACTTTCCAGGACAAATTAATTATTTTGACTCGGCTTATGATTCAAATATGATATTTGGAGAATATGGAGCATTAATTTTTGTTATCGACGCACAAGTAAGTTTCAAATGACCCGTTAAAAAATCATTAATTAAGCACAGTTACCTAATTCGTGACAAAAGTGAATTTTTATGGAAAATTAGGACGATTACATTGAGGCTTTAAATCGCCTTCATCATACTGTAACGCGTGCATATAAAGTCAACCCTGACCTTTCTTTCGAAGTATTTATACACAAAGTAGACGCATTATCTGATGAGTACAAAATTGATACGCAACGTGATATTCAACAACGAATTACAGATGAATTAGCAGATTATGACTTGGAGCATGTTCACCTAAACTTTTACTTAACTAGTATTTACGACCATTCAATTTTTGAAGCATTTAGCAAAGTAATTCAAAAACTTATACCTCAATTGCCAACATTAGAAAATTTGTTGAATATCTTGTGCGCGGTAAATAATTCACTTAATAACTATATAAAAATTCAACATTTATCTTGTATTTTCTAATTAAAATTAATTAACATGGGATTTTTATTATTCACTTGTATAGAATTCTGGCATAGAAAAGGCTTTTCTGTTTGATGTCAATTCCAAAATTTATATAGCAACTGATAGCTCACCCGTAGATATGCAATCTTATGAAATTTGTAGTGACATGATTGATGTAATCGTTGACATATCTGAAATTTATGGGTATGTTTTTTTATTTTCAAACCAAAAAAAAACTGCATAAATGTGGTAAACGTGTATCTTCCAGTTATTGGCACTAATGATAATCAATCATTTATACAGTCGAACAAATTCATACCGCTTTACCAACGATGATTTTGATCAATCACAAACTGATACCAATGGACATTCGGGCAACTATGGTACAACCACTGAAACCGCAAATGATGCATCATCATTGATTAAACTGAATAATGGGATGATATTATGTCTCAGAGGTGTCAACAGGTAAGATAGCACTTAAATTCCTCAACTAAAGACCGACAACAATTTATGATTTTTCAAATTTTATTATCTTGATCGTCAATACACTTTTTTTATGTACACATTTATCCAAATCAGATTTCTCGCACTGGTCTGCCTCCTTCGATCCGATAATTTTGAAAAGCATGGATTAATAGATTATAATTTTCAATGCTTTAAAGAAGCAATAGCAGATGTGTTTGAACTGAAACGTCGTAATGCGGAGAGAATGAAGCATGAAAGGATGGGATTAATAGAAAATGTAGATGATAACGTGGGAGGATAGTATAAGATAAAAATTATTCGTGTATGTGCAAAAAATTAAAAAGATTAGTTTTAAAATTCAATAATTTGATTATTACCTTTATTAAAATTTTTATTTAAGATTGCGATATCGACGTATATTAATAAAAGATATTTATTTTGATCACGTTCACATATTCTATGAAATTGATTAATCATTGATCATGAAGCCATTTACGTGCTTCCATTATTGAAAATTTACGTGATTCTAAATACACAAATCCTTGAAGAAGACAATCTGCGAGATCATCTTTCTTTTTAGATTCAAGAAAATATTTAACCAATTCATTAGAGCAAAGATGTAGATGATCATTTATCCAATTTCGAGCCAATGTCGTTGATAGTTTTTTTGTGCCTAGATATTTTCGTATTTCCGTTTTTTTACCTTGTTCTTGAAACCACCTTGTCATACGATCTGAATGAAAATGTTGATTTTGTTCCTCAGCCTTTAACATCGTGTTCAAATAATTCGAAACACTTAAAGGATGAATACTCTGTACTTGTAACGGATCTTTAACTCTATCACTTAAAAGCGCATATAGCATTAATTCTATAGTAATAACACTTTGAACGTCCATAGAGATTCTTTTATAAAAAGATTGACGTTCAATGATAAATGCATCGATATTTTCCTTCGACAAAAAGGTTTTATGAACTATAGGTTGCAACTTTTCGAAAAAACTTTTGGGACTAAAAGAATCCAAATTAAACGATAATTTTTTCCAATCTATTATTTGATAATTCGAAGTTAAATGAACGTACGCAAAATTCTTAACTCCGATATCAATAGATATAATTGATGTTAACTTATCCAATTGTGCTTTTTGATTAATTGTTATTAAATGTTGTGATAATAGTTTTGCAATTCCATTTTTATTTTGTGATGAGAAAAATAAACCACATCGACGACATAACTTTTCCAGTTCAGTCTTTAAATGCTGTTTTTGAAGACTTTTTTTTCATTGATTTTATGATACGTAAGAATATTTATATTTATTTGTAGATGAATCATTTGAGTATTGCTTTACACCTACCGATCAGCAAGGATTGTTACATTTATTTTTTCCATATTATCGCGACTATACGATTCACTAATTTCTCGGAAATCCTGTCGTTATTTTACTTTTAACCGGATGAATTCAGTAAATGTCTTAGGTTGATTTATAAATTAAACACGTATTGAAAAAATCAAATCAATTTACGGTAACACAATTTGCTTATTATACTCGTGCGAATTTCACGCGTTCTACAGTTTCTTTTATATTATCCGATAACTATGCTTGACAATGGATAAACAGCAATTATCTATCTCCAAGAATATTATCTGAAATTGTCAGTCTCAAAAAAGAAGTTTGAAACAAGTGATAATATAGAAACGATTCAAGAAATTCAAAAAGCTATGAACAAAAAAGCGAACAAACAAGAAATGAATTGAGAGATATATCAATCAAGCATGAAAATTTATGATATTATTTAGCCATCAAATCGCGCATTAAGTTGACATAATACTATTTAATCATTATATTTTTGACCTAATAACATCGATTCTTTTTAATAAAGCGCTGAGTAGGAAGTTGAAACCCTTAAATCTAGTGCAAAAAGATAATGATCAAAATGAACATGATTTTAAAGATCTTATAATGAAACATGAACGTGAAAAACATGTTTATTTCGAATTTAACCGAGAAACAAAATTTCTTTTTTTTTTCTTTTTTTTTACAATTATTAATAAACATATTTATCATTCCTTGGGCATTCAATTCTTTGAAGACCAAGACACACATAAATTGAAGCAAGGGTTGGTAATGTAATTTAAACATTTAATTTCGTGTTAAGAATACATTAACTGATATGAAATAAATTAAGATCTCTTAATAATTATCATAATTGAAATTTGTAGCTTGATTAATAAATTAAAATAAATAATTTTTTATTTTAAATATGATATATACTAGGTGCGTTCACTAAGACTGGTCGGTGTTCCATTCTTACTCCGCTAGGGTCTTAAATATTAACGTTAAGTTTAAAAAGTAAGAAATATATAATTTCTTGTATTGCAACTCCAGAAGGCGGAGTCTTAATTAATACTCGATCCCAAGCAGACTTGTGCCATGTGAAATATGTGACACCACAGCATGCGTGACAGGTTGATCGACAAAATTAAGAAAAAAAATTTTTTTATTTCAAAATTTTACTGCTCTTGGTGTTCTAAAAAAAAAGATTCTACTCATAATTTTGATATAGGTACTGCCTAAATCTCCTCCCAATCTATAACATTTAAAATCTGTTTAATAGGCTGATGTTGATCAATTAACGTAACATGTCATACATTCCGGTCTTGCAGTACAAATTACGACTCCGACTTCTGGACGTTTCACATCATGAGTTTACTAACCGAGTCTGGTAATTTGTGTACCCTGTATATATGTGGGCTTGGTGCACAAAACAAAAGATCATCGGAAAATCAATTTTTATGTTATAAATCTTATAATAAATCATAAGAAAATACAAACTTTAAAGAGCAATACTGCAAAATTTTATTAATACAACTACTTTTGTGTCTTAAGTAAAAAATGATCCTAACCTTATTCTAAATTGATTTATGTGAAAAAATATCTTTTGAAAAAATTGTCAATTTAGTCCACATATAAAAAAACCAAGTATTTTATATAAAAACCTCTATTTATCTTAAAGTCGCGCCCTAAGCCTAAATTTTAATAGGGTGGTTATTTCTAACCACTGGCGTAAGGAATAATAATTCAATAAAAAATTGTCGAAATATTTTAGGCATGCCGAAAAACCATTTAGGACATCATAATATACTTAGATATTGAAAATAATAAAATAATTAGTTTCTGGTTTTGGTTAAAATTTCAATCAAGTTTTAAGTACTTATGAAACTATTGCGTTCAGAATGATGAAATTTATTTTGCGAAATATAACTTCGGTTTTATTTTCACTTATTCGAAACTCGAACACTAGTTAGTCTTTTTAAATACATAGATGTGTTATATTTTGAAATGCATTTAAAGCTGCACTGATTGAATAAAAAAGCTAAATTTTGTTGCTAAAAGATATAATTATCGTAAGTAATTACTTATAACAAAAAATCTTAATATTAAGTAAGAGTATGCAATAATTTTTCCCATCTCTAACTATGAAGGTGCCAAAACGTAGTGTTGGTATCTGGTAATTGCTGACAGCCATTCTCTGACGGATTAAATCGGCTTGATCAATATATGATCTAAGTTCGTAATATTAGCAACTACACAGTACTTCTCATTTCATATGAGTACAAAGAATATTTGTTACCTAAAAAAAAAAGTCTATATTCTATGTTTTTTCCGTAAATGTTGCATATTCACAAAATTTATATACGTAACGAGAGTAAACTATGAGGAGTTAAAATAGTTGTCCGTTTTAAAAAAAAATTGTTATAAAAAAATGTTTTTTTTCTCATATTATGACAGATTTCTTTTCGTAGATTTAATATATCTGGGTGGTTCGGTTCGATTTTAAATGCCTTATCTAAATCTACAAGTGATTTATTATATTCCTTCATATTATAATAAACCAACCCGCGTAATATTAACGTCTGTGCATTATTTGGTTCAATTTCTAATGATTTGCAGAAATCTTTAAGTGACTTTTCATATTTATTTTTTGAGAGGTAATGTATCCCACGATTATTTAGTGCAATTACATCATCTGGTACAAGCTTTAGAGATTTATTTAAATCTACAAGTGATTGCTTATATTTTTTCATCTTCATATATGTTGTCCCACGATTTTTTAGTGCTGTTGCATCATTTGGCTTAAGTTCTAAATAATTATTAAAATCTCGAAGTGCATTTTTATATTCTTCTATTCTGAAGTAAATTACTCCACGAATTATTAATGCCATTGTATCATTTGTTATAATTTCTAAATACTTATTTAAATCCGTTAACGATTCTTTATATCTTCCAATGGTGCAATAAGTCATTCCACGTTGTTGTAACGCGAGAAAACTATCTGGCGCGATTTTTAGTGACCCACTCAAGTCTTCAATTGCTTTCTCATATTCGTTCTCCATGCGGTATATCATACCGCGGTACAATAAAGCAAATGCATCATTTGGTTCTATATCGAGAATTTTATTTAAGTCTGAAATTGATTTATTGTACTCTCCTATCATAAAATACGATTTAATACGATATTTTAATGAAAATATATCATTTGGTTCTATATCGAGAAATCTGCTTAAATATTCAATTGATTTTTTGTATTCATTCTTTGTAAAATAAATTGAACCACGAGTTTTAAATTCGGATAGAATTGAACCACGAATTTCTAATGAGGATAGAATTGAACCACGAATTTTCAATGCGGATAGATCATTTGGCTTTATTTTAAGTAATTTATTTAAGTCTGCAAGTGATTCACTATACCTCTTCAATATATAATAAATCTCACCACGTTTACTTAATGCAAGCACATTATCTTGCTCAATTTTTAGTGATTCGCTTAAATCTGAAAGTGATTGATTATATTCTTTAATATGATAATAAACTATTCCACGATGCCTTAGTGAATCTGGATTATTTAGTTCGATTTCTAGTGACTTGTTAAAATCTTCAAGTGATTCCTTATATCTTTCTATCATAAGAAAACATTTTCCACGATAATTAAGTGCCATTACATCATTTGGTTTAAGTTCTAGAAATTTATTTAAATCTGCAAGTGACGTTTCATATTCATTCTTCATAAAATAAGTAGCACCTCGATATTTTAATGCAAATGCATCATTTGGTTCTATTTCGAGAAATTTATTTAAATCTGCAAGTGATTTTTTATATTCATTTTTCATAAAATAAGTAGCACCTCGATACTTTAATGCAAATGCATCATTTGGTTTTATTTCGAGAGATTTATTTAAATCTGCAAGCGATTCATTGTACTTTTCTAGCATATGGTAGGTTGCTCCACGGTTTTTTAATGCAAATGCATCATTTTGTTCTGTGTCAAGAAATTTATTCAAATCTACAAGTGATTTTTTATATTCATTCACCATTAAATAAACTACTCCACGAATTTTTAAAGCGGATAGATTATTGGGTTCTATTTGAAGCAAGGTATTTAAATCTATAAGCGATTTATTATACATTCCTAGTATATAATAGATTTCTCCACGTTGTCCCAATGCAATTATATTATTCGGTTTACCACAGGCATATACATTATTTGGTTCAATTTTTAGTGATTCATTTAAATCTGTTAATGATTCTTCATATCTCCCCATAAAATAATATATTTCTCCACGTTGATTTAATGCACACACGTCGGTCGGCTTAATTTCTAATGTCCTACTTAAATCTTCAAGCGCGCATTTATACATTTTCATATTATAATAAGTAATTCCACGAAGCCTTAATGTCCATACATTATTTGGTTCAATTTCTAATGATTTATTTAAATCTGGTAATGAATCTTCATAACTTTTCATTATGTAAAAAATTTCTCCACGTAATCTTAATGCACTAGAGATATTTGGATCAATTTCTAAAGATTTATTTAAATCTTCAAGTGATTTTAGATAATTTTTCATATTAAAATAAATTGCTCCACGTTGTATTAAAGCCCATTTATTATTTGGATTATTTTCTAATATATTATCAAAAAATACAAGTAATTCATCATATCCATTTAACCAAATATCCGATTCTTGATAATAACAAGTTTGTCTTTTTGATATATTGACTTTAAGCATTGGAAAAATTTTTGATAATTCCTCTTTCTTATATTTTGAAAGGTTTGGCCATTTGTGTTGATTTAAAACAAAATTGGTAATTTGGTTTTTATAAAAAATTTCTTCAAAGATTTGTTTTAATTGATTCACCTTTGGCCGAATACTCCCATAACCATCAAAAGATAATTGGATTGTAGAATTTTTAAGGTTATTGAATGGTATATTAATAAAAAGAAAAAGTGCATAGTGTGGATTAATTTTTTTTTCCATATATATTTCAAGTTTTTTTAACTGGTTTGTAGTTTGAAGAATTAAAGCAAGTTGTTCTAATGTATAAAGTGGGATTTTTAAATGTTTAAGGTTAACTGTACATTCCGCAATATTTCTGATCAGTTGAGTACATTCAAGAAAATTATTGGAATGCCAATCAAAGATAATTCTTTCAAGAGTTTTACTATTCGTTTTGACAAGATCAGATAATAGATTAATAGGAGTCGCATTATCATAAATGTTATAACCTCCATAAGAGTATTCCAGAGACGTTAAGTTTGAATACATAGAAGTAATGGGAAGGGATATTGAGGAGCTAAGTCCTTCACAGTGTTTAAACTTTAACTTAGTAATCTTGATACGTTGAGTAAGTGAAAAGATGGCTTTATCATTTAATTGAAACGTAGTATAATTAAATTTTGACACTTTAACCAATCTGCTGTTGGAATGCATGTCTTTGAACGTTAAACTATTAAGTGATTGTATTTGACTTTCGAGAGATTGAACAGGAAATGATGCGAAACTATTGCTATTTAATATTGAGAACTTTTTTAAGCATTTTTGAGCACACACAAGTTTTGCTAATGCAATTCCTTCATCCTCATGCCAAACAGTAGCTTTAAGATTTTCAATATTATGACAGATATCTGCTATTACATTAAAGATTAGATCTTTTTTAGCAGGCCAATGGTATGAACAATTAAGGCGTGACAGGTTTCTAAACATTAGAGAGTATTCAAAAAGTTGAGGAAGAATCGTAGAAGCCATTTTATCATGAAATTTTGAAGATTGATGGTCATAAAGATCAAATCGGCGAAACTTTACTGCATAAGTTGAAACCATTTTAATTAATTCAATGATTTTTTGCCTCAGGGTAGCCATTCGCAATGGCAGCATTAAGAAATCGATCAAATGGAAGTTCTTTTAGAAACGATGGATAATCGTAAAGCGGCCTTTTAACCGTTGAACAATTGTGAAAATTCTCAACCACTATAAATGTGAGATAAGTACGAATTAATTTGGGAGACGGAATAAATTTATCATTTATTTTGAAAGGAGATTCCCATAAAATTGGTACGGCACAAGAAGCCCAATATTTATTGACCAAAAGGCAGGAATGTAAATCTTTGTTGTTTAGGAGGTATCTAAAAATAATATGAAAATATTCGGGTGCAAATACTTGATCTATGGTACCAGGATTATGTTTGAAATCATTTTTATTTTGACTAATTTTCATTTTCTTAATGTTCAAATTTCCAAATAAAAGTAAAAAAACATGCAAAAAAATATGTTTGAAAGGATAGAAAAAAACGAAAAAACGAAACTTTGATTTCAAAAATGAAATGAGCTTTGTATATATGGGTGCTGCAAAAAAGGGTAAATCAACAAAACAAAAGATCTTCGGAAAATCAATTTTTATGTTATAAATTTTATAATAAATCAAGAAAATACAAACTTTGAAGAGCTATAGTACAAAATTTTATTAATATATAACTGCTTTGTTTTTAAGTGAAAAATGATTCTAAATTGATTTGTGCAAAAAAAACTTGTTTGTAAATTTTGTCGATTTACCCCTTTTTGCATCACCTAGCCCACATGATTGTTATGGGAGTGATGCTAAAATAAGTGATTTTAAATTGTCACATTCAATAATGTGTAACTTGATTATAGGTTGTAACACATTAAAATTCTCTTTGATGACACTCATTTTCGTACGTACGTACATACACACTTTATTTATATTAATGATTTCAAAGTAGCACATTAAAATTCATATTTCTAAATTAATGACTTCAATAAAAGTATTTATTTACATACATACTTTATTATGTTAATGATTTAGGAGTTCAATGTTTGTATTTTATCTTTATAAGGTATAACTGTGGTTTTTAGATTTCTTGCACCGTACGTACGTACGTTGAAAAAGTGTAGCTTGAACGTTGAAAGCTAAAATCTACTAAATCTAAACACTACAATCTCTAATTTACAATCCGAAGACCCTCAAGACTTCGATTTGGCAAGGCAGAAAGAGGTGCGGAAAGACTTGGTCCGAGTCTCAAAGCTTTGCTGGTCTTGCTGCGGCGTATTTGGCGATTTAGATA